GATGTGGTTTACACCTAGGCTGTAATATTTGTGCCTGTTGGCCCAACACATTTGATTTCAGCAAACTCCTAATTGGTCTCATTTTACCAAATGCTTGTTATTTTTACATTTTTTGATTTCAATTTTATGAACAATAATTACAAAATATGAAATCTGAGGACCATATTTTCCTAAGTATGTACCTTGGATAGTAGTTCATGTGCCTAGCCTCATAAGATAAGGGTTAGAAAATATATTCCATTTGCCTGCAATATTATATTAAAACAATGTCTCTGGCTTAGGGGTTATGAATGCAGCTTCTTATTTCGGCCTCCTGGGTTTGATTTAGCTGCAGGTGATTTGACTTCAAACAGCTTTGTGTTGATTTTGACAATGGTGTAACCATCCAGAAAGCAATGGCAAACTACAGGATATAAAATTGTTTAAAAAATGTACAACCAACTAGCAAATGAGGAGGTTGGTTTGTAAAGTCGTGTAAAGGATTCGCAATTAATATTATAAACTGCTCAGTAAATAAACATGGTGAATGGAATGTGATAATTGGCTGCTGTTATTGAACAGTTCTAAATTTTAGAAAAATTTGTCACAGTAGACTTACATCAGAAGAAATTATTTCTGACCAAATGCCAGTTAATCTCTCTTAAAATTAGTAATATGCTCTTAAGTAAAAACAACATAATTCTTTCATTCTTGCTAAATCGATCAGGAATGGTAATCTTTAGTGAGTAAAAGGGAAGTGTTCAATAATATGTTGGGACTTTTTTTTTAAAATAACTCTCTAAAGATGTGGGCAGTGGTACTTTACTTTTTACTTTATTTACTTTTATGTAACTAAACAATAGCACCACGGCGGATATTGAGATACAGACAAGTTAGGTCTTGATATCTTCCAAGCCAGGACACAATTAACTGTGGTGGACTGCTCACTTCCTCGCCCTCCAAAATTCATAAAACTGGCTGGTACCCATTTGATTTGATTGTCAACCAAGCCAGTGTATCATCAGAAAGTAATCCTGCAACAGCTGGGAATTGAACATAGACCACTGTTTCGGCAGCCTAAAGTACTAACCACTTTGCCAAAGCAACTGCCTTATGACTATTAATAGTTTGAATGCATAAATGTTTACAGCAATTAGTCATATGTGTTTTATTCATCGACTACTAATAAGTCTTGCTTTTACTGTCTTTTTATGACAATTTCCGTAGATAGGTCTGTCTTACCCGCTTGTTTCATGACTTAGTTTTGTACTGTTTTCCTGATAAATATTTTTTTATAATATTCTAGCTGTGTGTTTCTTCCATTTTTTTTTTTTTTTTTTTTTTTGATTGATTGATTTTTAAATTTTTTTTTTTTTTGTGTGTGGAGACAATCTGATCTGCATTGTACTTGCTTAGATGTGAGCTCAGACTTTCCATAAAATGCTCAAGATCTGCTTCCTTTCGTGTACTTTCAAATTTACATAACCTGAAACAGACTTTGACATGCTTTTATTATCTCCTTTGACTGTTAGATTAAACAATCTGAATTGTCTCTTCATAACTTCTACAGTAGTATTCTTATTAAATTATGTGATGTAATATGTGCATCGTCTGTGGCTTAGGCGTTGCGAACCCGCTTTTTAATGCCGCGATTTTGGGTTCGATCCCAGCTGCAGGCCTTGCACTTTCCGTTGGTTTCGACAGTGGTATCAAGAAGCTGACCGTCCAGAAAGCAATGGCCAACTACTGGACGTAAACTTGCCGAGAAAAACTACAACAGCCAAAAATCCAAAATTGGTTCTTCAATGTCCTGTAAAGGATTCGCAACTAACTATAATATGTGCATCTGCAGTCTTAAGTTGATGTGACATGTATATTTGTACCACACATTTCGATTGGGAAATATTTATTATGTATATTTATCATTGTCAACATCATTTTTGCTCTTAGTTTTTGTTTCACAGTTTTTCAAAACTATACCAGGTTGCATTTTAAACAAGGTACATATATTTTTAGAAATAATATACTCAGACAATCATACAAGAATGAAGAAAAGGGGATTGGAGAAAATATTTTTAATTATGATATTTATTGTAAGAAATATTCACTTACTTTGTACTATATTCGTTACGTCCTTCTTAGGACGTAATTTTTTGTTATGTGAAGCCCCACTCTGGCTTTTGCCAGGGGCCGCAATATAGGCAGGCCATCAATATGGCCAATTGTCTGAACGCGGTTTCTGGGACCTCTCCACGGTGATCCTCATCTGCATGGTGGCACTTTGTGTCATCGGGTGTTTATCGCGTGTGTGATGTCCTGGTGGGGTAGAAAGTCAGTCAGTCTGTTAAGAAATATTGTACCAATTCTGTTCCATAGTCATAGGAGAAAACTCAGAATGTCTTCAAAAGATAAAGTGAATTGTTAGGCAGAAGTTAACTACAGAGCAAAAAATGTTGCAATCATGATGTCATGTGTATTTTACTGCAATCTTTTTTCCCCAAGCAGTCTTTTCCTTTGATGAGGAATTAAATGATTTACTTCTGCAAGGTACTTTCTGTCACTAGCATCACACTTCACGATGTTTTCATTTCAGTGTTGACACCATTAACCAGTTGTTTTCCCATCATGACACAGTGTGGTTGATTCATTCTTGTTTGCTGTTTGTTTTCAATTCAGATCATATTGTATCCTGTCTAAACAGTTCTGCCTTTATTTATTACTCTGTAATTTCTGTTTTTAAACCATTGATCTGCCCACTACTAATTATATTTGTTGCTTTTTTATTTTAGCACTGATTTTGATGATATTTTTAAATTCTTTAGGAGTGTATTTTTTTTATAAATGTGTACGTTTTATTTTCAGCTATACAAAGGTGAAGCTTATTAAATAATTTTATATTTTTCTTTAATCTTTTGCCCTATTCCTCTTTTTTTTTTTTCAACACACAATTATTTTTCCAATTTTTAATACATTTTTCTAATAATTTTTTTTATAACAGGTTTTTCTAATTTAAGTTCTTACCCTATAAATAAAGTTGTGTGTGTGAGTGTGTGTGTGTGTGTTTGTTTTTGTAATTTTGTTTTTCAACAATTGCTTGTCTAAGGTCGGATGCAACCTGTGTGATATTGGCCAGATAACTTTTCACGTAATATTGATCATGAAAACAGTGGGCAAACATCAAATGTCCATAATGCCTGAATTACTTGTGCACTTAAAAATACTAAGGAAAAAAAGAGTACTTACAAAACATGATGTCCCACACATATACAGTGTGTGTGTGAGTTGGTGTGTGCGTCTGCGACTGTATTTAAAAAAAAAATTAAATTTATTCATCTGCAGTTTTCACCGAAGTTTCTAAAACATTAGTGAATTTAAAGGCAACACAAAAATTGCTTACATTTTATTATTCACAATAACCATTTTTGGCTTCCATGTAATTTATTAATGAATACTATCGTAAATCCCTAAGTTGTCAAGAACGGCCAGGAAGGTAGAAAGGGACACAGGCATGTTTTAACTTTTTTTAAATACAAAGATGGGGTTGGGGTTGAGGATTTTGCCATGCTTTTTTTTTAAATCTTTTTTATAAACAAAAACTGACACTGATGAACAAACCAGGTCGGATCAAGCCAGAAGTTGAAAACCACACCTTTTGATTTGCTTCACCCTCTTTTTGTGTACACTTGCGAAAATGTGGTAGATCACATCTTAAACAGAATCTGTATTATTTTTTGGTCAACAATTTCTATGTCAGTCTATTGTTTTCCGAACAATTTACTTGCCATAATTTTCACTGACTCCACTTGTAGAGACTTTCTGATGTGATTAATAACAAAGTTTGAGTTCAATAGCAAATCACATTTTGACTCTCTCCCTCCCTCTCTCTTCCTCTCCCCCCTCCATCTCTCTCTCTCTCTCTCTTTCTCTTTGCAGCATCTATTAAAGACATTGAATCTATAATATTTATGTAAAATCAGTTTGAAAACGGTGGGAATAAAAGAAGCAGGCAATTTTTCTAGCTTAGCTTCAGTAGCAGACATTATTTCAATGGTGCAGACTGATGTTCTGAACATTGTTATATGTGCTGGCCAAATCAAGGCTTCAGAAGCCAAACTGGAGTGATAACTCTTTGGCCTGACTAGTAGGAAAACAGGCAAAGCCAGAAATAAACATCCTTCAGGAAAAAGGCAGTCACTTAAAAACCAAAACCTAGAATTGTAACAATCACTGCAGTAATGGATCTACTAAATATAAGGTCTGAAAACCTGTGGTCAGTCCAAAGGCAGTGAGGATGGTGAAGTGACCAACTAATCTTATCTTCTCCTTTGTGTTCACTGGTTGTAAACTCAGATGGAAAGTTCTGGTTGTTCATCCACTTCTGGACTTTGGTCTTGTTCCAGAACATGAGTTTTGCATGCACATCCGTTTTACAGATTTGGTTTATTTATATGCAGACTCTTGGCTCTTTGCCCCTCAGGCTGATGCACTCAGACTGTGAAGGAAACAACTCTAATTAGTTGCCTTTTATGACATGCTTGTTTGGGGAGCAGTGGGTCTCTTATTTTTGCCCCCCCCCCCCCCCAATGGGGCCCTGGAACCAACACAGAAAACTAATTAATCCCTATCTGGTATATGAATCACTGTATATATAATCAGTGTGTCAAAACAGATCTATATCATACTGTCACATTCTGAGAGCTTAACCGAAAATCCTGTTCAAGCTAATAAATAATCACATAAGAAATGAGTGTGCACCAAATGTCTGATTTAGCACTAGCACCAGTTGGTTCCTTACTGGCTTATTTAAAGAAACAAGTTACAAGAAATATTAACTGTGTTTTAATTACTTTTCCATTAGACTGGCTTGATATTCTCCTTAATAGTATGGAGGCATATTCTGTAGTCTTGAGTAATTATTGTAATTGTAATAGAGGCTGTGTCAGTAAATAATACACCTTTCTTGTTTATGAAACATAAATGATGGATACTGGATTTGTGACTGTGCTGTTTACCTCCTGCAGGTCAACAGAATCACATTTTCAACAACCAAGCATTCATTCGGATTGGAGGAAAGAAAGCAAGCAATGGGACTATCATGCATCATTTTGAGGGGATCATTTCAGGTGAGTTTTCTCAGTTTGAAGGCTTTTGGTTATGGTTTTCCACAGAAATACAGAAATAGCACATTGTAATATACAAGTAAAGGGAAACATTCTTGAAGTAAAAGAGAGCATCAACAGTTGAATCAAAACAACTATCTGGGAATAGTCATAATATCTGATGGAAGATGGCTTGTAGAACATGAATAACAATGACAAAAGTATCATGAAAAGATAAACCAGACCAAAAGTAGAAACAGCTTCTCACTATCACAGACACAAAAGGCAAGTGAACATTGCAGCTATAGTGCCTTCATGTGTACATTTCATCTACACCACAAATACGAACAAGAATACATAGAATCAGCTGATATTTCTCCAAAAGAAATCAAATTTCTGTCTGACGAGTAGAACATCTGATACATTTGTGGCCACTGGGCGCAAATTCTGACCAGAAATAGCTGTGAGCAGCAAGGGCTATAACAAAGATGAACTGACTTTTGCAGGACTGGAACACATACTTTTTTTTTTTTAAACGTTTTTAACTACAAATGAAAAAAAGTGTTTTTTAGCACCTGCACTGTTCTACAGATGTATGCAACAAAGGGAACGAAGGCAGACAACTAAGAGATGCAGTTTCTGAGGAAGATACAAAGATTACAGGGAGCAGTCAGAAAAATAAATGAGGCATTCTTTCAAGAAATGTGAAGATTATATATTGATAAGAAAAAAAATATTACATGTAAATAGCCTAAATTGTTTCCACTAGTTTTGACATAATTTGAGGAACAAATTTCAATATATATGACCTAGTGTGAGCCAGGTGTTGATATCTCAAATATTTACACCAGATGAAAATGTCTCAAGATTTCTGTTAATGCCTCATGCAGTCAATCAGGTGTCACCTGCACAATAAAAGAGAGCTGCAATGGATCTCCCACATGCTTAGTCTCAGGCCCTAGTTATACACTCTAGTAGACTACTGTTGGTCCATCTCTGGATATAGTCAGTCTCTGGCTAAATCACAGGAAAACTTGTCTGAAGGAAAGCCTTCTTTTTCTTCTTTTCATTCGTCCTGCCAGTGGTTTTCAGATGAAAAGACCACTGCATCTATGAAATCTGTGGTGTGATGCATGTCTTCCACTGTTCCATACAACTTAGTTTCAATTGGAATGCCAGCTGGCCAATCCTGGGATCTCTGTACTGCATGGAGAGAGAAGGTCTGTAGCAAATAGTCAGTATTCTGTGGATTGGCAACACTGACTGGATGGAGCTGGTCAAACATTATTCTTTGAGGATTGGCTGGATTTTGAGGCTAGTTTTCTAAGTATGAGATAGCCAATCTAATGCTAACACCTTTCAGATATCTCTTAGGACGTGCATGAAGATAACATTGTCACTTTTCTCTGCTTTTTTTTTAAGGATCCTGATAACACAGAGCATACATGATTATAATTTGTGGAATAGTACTGCCTTAAATCAAAAAGTAGAAACATGCCCTTTAGTTACTTATTTGGTTTAAATGAAAGTAAAAATGAAAATGAATGAACTGCTCTTTGTTTGTGTTCAGGTTTGGTGCTGAATGGTATCCGCATATTTGAGCTGGCAAAGCAAAATGATCCAAAAATTCATTTTGAGGGAAATGTTTCACTGAATGTCAAACCACCACCTCCTGTAAGGTAGGCACTACAATACAAAACCATATCTGTTTTGGTTAAGCAATAATTTGGTTGATTTATTGAATCTTTTGGATAGCTTGGACTTTTAACTTTTGGTATTCATATTATTTGAGCCATGAAAAGGCATTTGCGTCTTTCAGAGTGCATTTTATTTAAATACATTTGCTCTGGCTCAGTATCAAAGTATTGTGTCCATAGAGACTGTCCTGCAGAGTTCATCCACTCTCTGAGCCCAGAAACTGAGGGGGTAAGCAGGGATAGGGTTATAAATCACATTCAAAGATAGATGGATTAACTCTTTTAACTGCAAGCAACACAAGATGTGTGATTGCTCTTTGCACTGACTCCAAGCCATAAAATATTGTGTGTTCTCTTACTTTTCTTCTTTAATTAGAGAATAATATAGAATTCATGCTTCTGCTCTTGTCATTTCCACTGCTTCCCGTGTGGAACCGGGGCCCTATTATAGGGAAAACAAGAATAGATCCACTGCCTACCCAAAAGCATTTCGTAAGAGTCGACTAACTGGGAGCTTCCTTTGAAGTCGGAGTGCATCTGCCTGAGAGCAAGGAACCAACATTCTGCATACAAATTAGTCAGATCTGACAAATGGATGCACACGCAACACTCAGGTTCTGGAACTTGACTGCAGTCCAGAAGTGGACGAACGACCAGAACTTTCCTCCAGAGTTAACAGCTGGTGAACGCGAAGAAGAAGAAGAAGATTTCCACTGTGTATTTAAAAGAGTCTGTAAAGACTCAAGATTGTTTGTAGCTACCTCGGCAAATCTATCTAGAATTAGAAGAGTTCCCATGCAATCAGATTATGATTCAGCACAGCAAAAATGGTAGACTGCTTTCATGCCCAGGATACTGCAGCTTCCTGTACCAGATCTAGCTATTCCGTTGTCAAAAGTCACACTGAACAGACATTTATTAAAACTGACAGAAGCCTTGTCAATTGTCAAAAGGCACACTGAACAGACATTTATTAAAACTGACAGAAGCCTTGTCAATTGTCAAAAGTCACACTGAACAGACATTTATTAAAACTGACAGAAGCCTTGTCAATTGTCAAAAGTCACACTGAACAGACATTTATTAAAACTGACAGAAGCCTTGTCAATTGTCAAAAGGCACACTGAACAGACATTTATTAAAACTGACAGAAGCCTTGTCAATTGTCAAAAGTCACACTGAACAGACATTTATTAAAACTGACAGAAGCCTTGTCAATTGTCAAAAGTCACACTGAACAGACATTTATTAAAACTGACAGAAGCCTTATCAATTGTCAAAAGGCACACTGAACAGACATTTATTAAAACTGACAGAAGCCTTGTCAATTGTCAAAAGGCACACTGAACAGACATTTATTAAAACTGACAGAAACCTTGTCAATTAAGATAAACAGTAAACAAAAAGGACACATAGTGTTTCTTTATTTCTATGGTGATATATAGGGTGTAGTAAAAGGAAGTGCGATTTGTGTATTTTAATATAAAAATTTGTGCTTAATTACGTGTTGATATAAACTCCTTAGTAATGCACCTGACAAGTTACAACAAAATACATCATGTGATAAACAGTATAATATAGGGTTTATGACCTCATTATTTAAATTCATAATAATAAAACAGTATTTTATATTCTTATTGTTATATTTCTATCTACCCCCTCCCACCACCACATCCCCCCCCCCCCCACACCATCCCCACCCTCTTTTTTTATCTAAATTGCTGCCAATATAATAGACAGAAGTTAGTATTTTATTTCATTTTATTTTTCTGTGATAATTGATCTTTTTAACAGTAAACTGACTAGTAATGAAAACATTGCTGAGATGCAGTCGACACAAAGGGTAAGTCCATGTTCAGTTTCTTAATTATTTTTTTTTTCTGTTTTAACATATTCTCATTATTTTAGGTACAGGTGTAAGCAGTGAATATACTGACTATAATTACCATTTAAATTAAGTATGAAAAACTATATAACTTTTTAGTTCTTAGTATACTGCACTAGTTTTTTTAAGTCAGTCTAAACATAACTGGAAGCACTTTATGTTGTACTTGTAGGATTTAACAGTCTGTTTTTTTAGAGGAAAAAAAAAACAACTTATTAATTTTATATAGACTAATAGAGAATACTCTTTTATTTCTGCATGTTTGATATGTTCAAGATTGTTAATTTATTAAAATATTTATAATATCAAACATACAAGAGCTAAAGAAAAAAGTTTACAATTGTGTCACCTAACTTATTCACCAAGAATATCATGTTTTGCTCATGTGTGTGCAAAGAGTTAATATTCACACACATAAATATGCCAGCTTCAGACTAGATGTCACTCAGTGTTTTGATTTTTTTAAGGTAGAGGATTAAAATAAAATGGCACTCCATTTTTTTTTTTTTTTTTACTTCGACACCTTGAAATGTAATAATTCCTTACACCAAAAAGTCAACATAAGATAACATGAATAGTTATGACCGGGAATATAATGAGAAAAAATAGAAACATTAATGATCTTACTTTCAGAAATATACAAGCTGCTGCTTAAGTTAAAAGATATTCGGTCTTCAGTCAGACCCATTTAGATGATATCTGGCCATGGCCATTGAATTAACTGTATGTGCCAGTTCTTCCCAACAAAAACAACATAATCCATTCTGCTGACAGCTTTTATCTGAGTTTGTTCTCTAGACAGTTTTTAGTCCCCACTGATGAGATCCTGTCGTCCCAGTAGTGGACCACCACGATCAAAACATTACGAGCACAGCATGGTCGAGCCTGCCAAATCTATCGGTGATTATCCCACTCTGCCATAGCACAACCACAAAACACGCTGTTCCCACAGAAAACACATAGTATCCTGCACTTAAAATGCACACAAAATAGCAATCAGTGGAACAGAACACTCTGAGATAAGTCACAGCTACTAAAAATAACACAGCTGCTTGCCATTTTGAAAGCCAAAACCCAGATACTTTATTACCAGGGCTTTTTTCTAGGAAAAATTGTACCGGTACTGACCAATGAAGTGTTAATGGCAGAAGCGGTGGAAAAAAGGATGCCATAAAAAGGTGCCGCTACTGCACAAAATGCTAGAAGAAGAAAAAAATCTTTGCAAATAACTATATTAAACAAAGCTGATTCTAGAAGTAGAAGACTTCCAGGTTCAAATAAGCAGAAATTAAAAAAGAAAAAAAATTCTTACCGAAGGGTGGTGGTTTAAAATAAAAATCTGTCTTCTTACAGTTAATCTTCTTCTTTTTCTGAGCTTGTTAGGGCAGTTGGCTTATTTGTCCTCCCATGAAAAAAGTACAGAAAGTCACAGAACCCATACAGGGCCTCACAATGACCATGACAATATTCACTCTCTGAGTGGATTTGAATAATTTAAACATAGATTTGTAGATTTCAAAAGGTCAGTTGTGTTGAATGCTGCGCTGCTTGTTCAGCATCAAACTTGAATATTTCCAAGGACTGTTTTGCTGTGTTCGTGTGTACAGAATCTGTTTTAGAACTTGACGACTTAGAAAACTCAGTCATTTGCTATTTAACGTGTTATCCAGTAAATTTATGTTTCCTCAAAGTCAAATTTTATATCTATTGTCAAATACAATTTGCATTTATTATTCTGGATTGTTTCTCAGAGAGAAGCTAAGTCATTTGCAAATATAGTATATATATATATATATATATATATATATATAAAATTTTATTATTTTTGAGTGCAAATATATCTAACCACAAAGAGTTATTTATATTTGTCTCGTAAAATATGTGAATAGACAACATGAAATCAAAATTAACTGACTAAAAATGTACATAGCTGCTGCCTTGAAATACTGGTTGCTATGTTTGGAAAAGACTGGCTTGTTAAGACACAGACCTGCCATTGTGAAATATTGTTTATTCCCTTTGCAATTAACTTCCCTACACCTAGTGTGTGACCTGCACAAATGTAGCACAATCTTTTGTTGTATTCAGCAGTAGAAATGCTAATTTTTTTATTATTTTTTGTTGTTGTTTGTTTCTTTCTAGAGAGTAAAAAATATTATTCCCATGTGCATTAATGCCATTCATGAGGTCATTTTTAAATGACAGAAATAGTAGATCAAATAGACATATAAGAACAAGAACACAGTTTATTTAATAAAAGTTATTTGATTTACAAATTGCCTAATTTAAAAAAAATATCTTCAAACAAATACTTTTTATTTTTTTATTTTTAGAGAGAGAGTTAACATATTATAAAAATGGTACAAGGAAAATGATATGGCATTCGCAGCTGTACACAACTTTAAGTTATTCCATTATAAGTCAGCACTTTGATTGTGGGGTACCCTTTTCTTTTCTTGCTAATTTTCTTTGATTTTGTCTTTAATATAAACAAATAATAATTCTGCTTCTAACACCTTTTTTTTAAACAGTATTACAAAAATAAGCCATATAATTCTAACAGCTCGATTATCATATATAGCCTCATTTGTGATAGCTGTTGCCACTCCTAAAGAGTGCAAAATAAAAATTTAAAAAAAAAAAAAATAGTGAGCCATTTTACATCTTGGCATTGAACACAGCTCATTGATTTGCCAGTCTACAGTATTGTTGTGTGAGGTGAAAAATATTTCAGATATCTGTTACTTTGTGCTTATTTTCAACATGCCATTACTACAAGAATATACCTTTTAAATTATGAACTTGCATCAGCACACTAATGTAGACCATCAAACTATAAAAAATGGTCAGATTTTAAATTCCAATTTCAAAATCAATTTTTGAAACTGATATAATTTATTTAGTATTCATTAAAGTTGAATATGAATGAAGCAAACTTTGGGGGGGGGGCAGTTTAATGAGGCCAAATGTTACAAGTTAGAAAGAATATAAAACATTCACTTGAAACAGTTGTTTCATATATACTTAAGAACTAGCCCTCTACATTCTCATTTCTATCTAATATTATTTTTATATGGAACCACCATAGCTTTATTTCCTCAAAGGATTCTGTTTTGTTTTTTAAATGCTGGCTGGAGATTGCAAGAATTGTTTGTATTTTTCCTGCATTTTTATATTTTGTTTCATTACCCCTGTTGCTTTTTACCTTTTTTGACCAGCACATTAAAATTTTAAATTTTCTTGAGTTCTGCTGATATTTTTTTTCGATTTTTTTTTTTTAAATATACTATTTTGAATTATTATAAATATAAAGACATAATAGAAATTATTATAAAGAGATAATGAAACACTGCCTATTATTTCATGTTTTAATTTAAACAGTTTCTTGTTTCACTTTGCTTAGCTTTAATACTTTTATTCCCTATTACTTTATCTTTCATTTCAGCCACTTTAAATATTTTATTTTGCATTAACAAATTCTTTGAATGCAAAAAATAATAATACTAGTTTGATTTTCCTTTTACAACTTTGTATATACTTTCAGTTTGCTTCTTTTTTTCAGTAATTTTTTTTTTTTTTTGAATACTATGTCTTTTTCAAATCAACATTGCCCCATTGTACACTGTAATGATTAACATATCACTATTTACAGTAACATTTTCATTTTCTTTCTTTGGTAATAAGAAATCGACACTGTTGGCAGGTCTGTGCCATGCCTGATGAAGGGCTTACTTTATACTTTTCTGTTGTGCAAGCAATGAGTGAGTGAGTGACTTTCTACCCCACTAGGACATCACACAAGCGATAAACACCCGATGACACAATGTGCCACCATGTGGATGAGGATCACCGTGGAGAGGTCCCAGAAACCGCGTTCAGACATTTGGTCATTTTTATGGCCTGCCTATATTGCGGCCCCTGGCAAAAGCCAGAGTGGGGCTTCAAATAACAAAAAATTACGTCCTGAGAAAGACGTAAGGATTGAAAAGTGTGCAAGCAATGGATGGATTTTTTTTACCCCACCAGGACATCACACAAGCGATAAACACCCGATGACACAAAGTGCCACCATGCGGATGAGGATCACCGTGGAGAGGTCCCAGAAATCGCGTTCAGACATTTGGCCATAATGATGACCTGCCTATATTGCGGCCCCTGGCAAAAGCCAGAGTGGGGCTTCAAATAACAAAAAATAACATCCTAAGAAGGACGAAAAAGTTACTTTATCTTGATAAAGCATACTTCTTTAGATTCAGACTGGATTTAAATGGACATTGCTGACTAGAAATATGCAAAGTTATTTTTTTTTTTACGATGGTGATTGTATATAACAGGATGACAACCTATGATTTTGAATGGAAAATAATTTCATTATATTAACTAACAGCTTCCCAATACAAATACTGGAAAAATGTAAGGTTGAGATTTTAATTTATAAGTCGTTTAATAATTTTAATGTGTTACCTCCCTTAGGCTTTCAGTCCCTTGATAAATCTGATTAGATCTGCTGAACTCAGAGTAAAGATTAGACTCCATCTTTCTGGCCTTTTTTTGGAGATATTTTGTGTTGCGTCTCTACATTCAGAGTAGAGAAGAAAAAATACCACAGTGTGGGATATTTACATCTCAGAATAGATCAGGACAGCTATGGCATGGTATCACTGTATCTCAGATTAGATCGGGACAGCTATGGTACTGTATCACTCTATCTCAGAATAGCCAAAGTCTATCATGGTGTGATATATCTTTACCTTAGAATAGCCCGGGACAAGCTATTACTTGTGTGGTATCCTTACATCTCATCATAGGTTGTGATAGACCATCAGTGTATTGAATCCCTACACCCTGGGTGGATGTGGCAGCCCCCCTTCACTTCCAAGGATCCTCTACTGACTCATCCCTTGTGAGTTTGGTTATAATGTCTCCTATCTTGACCTCAAAGCAGGCGCGATGTACTT